TAATTATAATTATAATCATAATTATAATCATAGATACATTCAAATCAGATCAGATCAGAAAGATTCAGATCAGATCAGAAGGATTCAGATCAGATCAGAAACATTCAGATCAGATCAGACCAGATCAGAAACATTCAAATCATATCAGAAAGATTCAGATCAGATCAGATCAGATCAGAAAGATTCAGATCAGATCAGAAAGATTCAGATCAGATCAGATCAGAAAAAATTCAGATCAGATCAGATCAGAACTTAAAAAATTCAGATCAGAAACATTCAGATCAGGCGAAGAGAACAGCTTCTAAGTTTGTTTTATTCTCCAAATATGACTTATTATTTAGTCCTTTTAAAAGAATAAGTTGCCCAAAATAGGAGTGAATGAGTCATATTTTGAAAACAAAAGAAATATAGTACGTCATATATCAATGAACTTAATCTTTGTTTTACTCTTATTTAAAGTATGTTTTGGAGTTTGGAGGAAATGAGAGGGGAATGCTTTGAAGTTATGTTGTTAGAGGGGAAAGTGAGAGGAAGGTGAGAAAGTCCTTCTTCGTATTTGAGAGTAACAAAATTTGGAAGAAGATAGTATTTGGAGGAATTATAATTAAAATCACATTGAGAAATGACAAATTCAATCAATTGAATTGTCATTCGTTTTAAATTAAGCTTAAATTATCATTTCATAAATTTACCTTTCAAAACATTCCCTTCAAAATTTTAAACTCCTAAACATGAAAATGAGGATCATAAACCCCCATCAACCTTCCTCTCCCCTCCAAAATCCAATTGACAAACACACCATTAGAGAATTTTTCTCATCAGTTTACTCCTATTTATTTACTGCGCGTAATTTACTCTTTACGTACACTAATTCCTACTACTACATCATGCGATTCAATTAAGTGTAGAGGATTACGGACTACGTATTTAGGCTACAACAGTGAAAAGAGTACGAGTGAAATAGAAATTAGAAAGATATTATGTAAGAAACTTTGGGAAATTAGATGAAAAGGTAAACATGATTAAGATGTTTTAAATATAAGAGCATCTCCAATGGTAAAATGTGCACGGTACACACGTGGAATGAGAAATAGCCACATAAATATTAGTAAATAAATTCTTTCTGTTCTTATTTGAATGATTTCATACAGTTTTGGTATGTTTTTCTCTACAATGTCAAGGAGACCGTTTAGATGTTGACATTGTTGTTGACATTGCAGGGAAAAACTTACTAAAATTATATAAAATCATTCAAATAAGAAGATAGATGATTTATTTGCTAATATTTATGTGACTATCACTCATATCACATGTGCACCGTGCACATTATCTGGTTTGATTCATTTAAATTCACTTTGATCCTGATAAAAGTGTACTAGGACTGGGGCTGATCGAATAATCTGGCTTGCTTTTGTTCATGCGACATACACAAATTAAATACATATACAAGGATTACACGCACCAATAAGAAGAGGGTCACATCTCCTTCGCCTAACGTACATATATATAAATAAACGTAAGTAAAGAAATTAAATAGGAATGGAGAGAAAATAGGGATCGATCTGTATTGTAGCAAGTACTACTCGTCTCCTATATTTGTACATATAAAATATACAAGTGTGCGATATTCCCCAACCCTCCTCAAGTTGGAGTGTGACAATTCGAAACAGGGGCGGATTCAAGAATTCGGGATGCTCTGGGCTGAATAGCTGTTATACTGGACTTAAATATTATCGAGGTGGGCTAAATGTGAAAAATGAAAAAATTTACACTAAAAATATTGAATTTTTTTAAGTTGCCCTGTGCTTCAGCCCAACATAGCTCGTACATAGATACTCCCCTAATTCGAAACGCCCAACTTGGACAATAAATAAGAGAATTATATTGTTGAGCTCTAAGTGACTTGGTAAAGATGTCCACAAGTTGTTCGGTGGAGGTCTTATATATAATGAGTGGAAATAGTGACAATATGCTTAGTGCGTTCGTAGAACACGAGATTGGAAGTGATGTGATGAGCAACTTGATTATTGCAATATAAATCTGTAGCTTGCTTGGGGATGATCGAGAGATTGCCAAAGATTTGAGGAAAGCTTTTAACAAGCTAAGCTCACAAGACAAGGTCGCCATAGAGCGATATTCAGCTTCAGCAGAGGAATGAGAGACAGTAGCTTGTTTCTTGGTTTTCCAAGAGATGGAAGAGGCCGCCAGAGTAAAGAAACAACAAGTGACAGGTCGACGAGTAAGAGCATAAGAAGCCCAGTTGGAATCACAAATTCACAATATCCGGTCAGGTGGAGTGGGGAATTAGCTCGTAACAAAATACCCTAGCCCGGATGTTCCTTGAGATATCGGAGCACACGAACAACAACATCCCAATGCGTTGGACGTGGGGATTGAATAAATTTTGCTAGAATATGCACATAGTAAGAAATGTGAGGATGTGTCAAGTTAAGGTGAGATAAATAAGCTTACCAACCAATCGTCAGTATCTCTCAACATCGGGGTAGAGTGCGTTGGTATCTGTGTGAAGATGATGGTTTTGAACAATAGGAAATAATGCTGGTTTGGTGCCTCTAAGAACCGTCTCACACAAAATAATTAAAGTGTATTTGCGTTGACATAAGAACATGCATGTGGAATTTTGGGCTACCTCTAGCCCAAGAAAATACTTGAGTCGTCCCAAGTCTTTAACTGGAAACAACTGAGCAAGAAAATGTTTTAAATCACAGATCCATTGAGAATTAGTTCGTAAATACATAAATACATTATGGACTTATTACAGCTATTTAAAATGTATGAAGCTAGTCATGTGGCAACACCATTAGCTTCCGCCGCCTCTTCAACTATATATGATAGTTCAGGTTCATGTAATGTCACTCTCTATCGATAAGTGCCTGGGTCACTACAATTTTCGAATCTCAACAGCCAAGATGTTGCTTTTGCTATTAACAAACTGACATCTTCTCAAACATCTATTTGCTACCTACATGATATTGCCTTTCATGGCCTTCGTCTCCACCGCAATAATTCCCCTTTTATGTGTGCCTTTACTGATGCTAACTGGGTAGGAAATCATGATGACTGATCCTCTACGAGTGCATATGCCATCTTTCTAGGTGAATCATTTATACCCTGAAAATCAATGCACTATTGCTAAGTCATCCACGGAGCCTGAATACCAAGCTCTTTCAATCGCTGCTTCAGAAATTATTTAGATCGAATCTCTCTTGTGTGAGTTGCGGCACCCCATTTCTCCTCCACTCATCCTTTGTGATAACAAATGTGCTACTACATCTTGAGCAAATCCTATCTTCCATTACCAAATGAAACATGTGACTATTGACTTTCATTTTTTTCGGGTTGAATGTGGGCTATTGCATACTTTCCATATTCCGTCTTCTAATCATATAGTTGATGTTCTCACCAAACCACTTCCATGACAACGGTTTATTTTTACTACTTACCATATTGACACGCTTAGTAATTGTACATATAAAAGCTCTTGTAATAAATCTTAATGTACAGAATATAATTACAACCTTTCCCTCTCTTATTCTTTACCCGTTATGGAGTGCCACCAGTATAGGAGTAATTTCTTGCAAATGCTCGAAAAACTCCTTCCTCCCGGTCATATGATAAGATGCTCTCCTCAATAAACCAACTTACTTCATGTTCCATACCTTCTAGAATTTGTTTACCAGTAGATTGCCTCCCACTTTACTATCCTCTGCCTTTTCCTCATCGACGCCCAACAGTTTAAAATCACCAATGTGGCAATTTCCATGTGTAGCGGAAGCAATGCTCATAATTATGTCCATCCCGAGTAAAGGGTCAGTTTGGTACTTGAAGTTGCATAAAAAAGGTCAAATAAGTCCTTATATAGGAAGTTCTGTCTGGCCGTCACCATTTGGGGCGGTTCCCGGTGGAATTTTTTGACGATTTTTTTTATCATCTTATTCATTAAGTCTAGTTTACTCATACCAAATTTCAGCTAAAACTTCAATCGGGAAGGCATTCAAATGAATTCTTGAAGATAACTGTGCAGTTAAAAGCGCAGTTATCTTCAAGAATTCATTTGAATGTCTTCCCCATTGAAGTTATAGCTGAAATTTGGTATGAGTAATCTACACTTAATGAGTAAGATGCTAAAAAAAAATCATCAAAAAAATCCACCGGGAATCGCCCCAAATGGCGACGGCCGGACAATAAGGACTTATTTGATCCTTTTTATACAACTTCGAGTACCAAACTGACCTTTTACTCTGTCCATCCCTCTTGCAAAAGGTACACGTCAGTTTGACCCCCTTCCCACAAGAGTCATTTTGGAGCATGGAAGATTTCGGGATGCAAAAGAAATTGTGTCAACTTTGTCTTCTCTAGCGCGGGACATGTTTTGGTGGTGCTCTCTTGAACGACTATTTGTTATACTCTAAAAAGACCAGGCGGTTTCGTACGACTCAGAGTGTTGAATTGGATCGTAAAATTCCATCAAGACCAAGAAGGAACTCGTGAGTTTTTTCTTTTTCAATTTCCTAGAGAAACTTCAGCTCGAGGTTGCATTTGGATCCCCCACACATACATTTCGGTACATTCTGGTATCCCTCAAATTCATCCCAAATCTCTTTCAGCTGGTCATAATAATAAGTCACACTTTGTCGACATTCACCAATAGCCTCCTCGGTCTCTCCTTTTTACGTTACCCAAAAAATATTAAGTCCAGGAAATTCTGAAGGATGAAAACAGTATGGTGACGAGGGATCTGTAATCTTCTTGTGTGTTGGACGAGTCTGGACCCATGGTAACAAGTGAATGTGGATTGTCGTTATTATCCAAGGAAGTATCACGATTTGTCAAAAAATAAGATGCCCAAAGCCGCCAAAGGTACAATTTCATGTGTGCAAAAAGAAAAGAAAACGGAGAAGACGAAAGAAGTGTTGGATTAGAACTGACCACAACAAATTATAAAACACACGAATTGAGCCAAGCTCTTTTGTTGTATTTTAGAAACTAAGAAAATGGTTGGTTCTGTGGTACATCACAAGAACACAACACGTTGAATATAAAGACCAAGCCAACAGGAGTGGAAGCTACAAATCAGCAACACACCCACGAACATTACAACCAATTCAAAACATAACAATTATCTCCTAGAATGTCTCCACTACTCTAAGACTTATTCAAATGATAACAAATAAATAATTAATGAATAAATGAACCAAATAATTAATAACTAAATTTAAGATTATTCCAACAATCTCCCCCATAATCTTAAATTTACGAAGCACTTCTCTTCATCTGTGATGCACTTCTCACCACCACCAAACTTTGATGCACGTCTCATCCAAATAAACACTTTGGAGCACTTCTCCCCATGGTGCACATAATCACCCATAATTTTAAAGGAGAGGTTCTCCCTCGACCAAATTTGCCAAGACTTCTTCATCTGTTTGGAATCTACAATTCTTTGCTAGATGACCAAACCTTTTGCATTTGAAGCATTGTGGCTTTCCTTTATGCCAACAATCCTTTTCTTCATGACCAACCTTATGACAATGGTTGCATTGAATTTTGTTGCCAGTTCCTTTTGAGAATGAGGATTTAGCTAACAAGAGTCCTTCATTTTTTCCTCCATTTTCTTCTTCCCTCATTGATCTCCTTTGGTCAACGGCATGGAGAGAATTGATTAATTCTAAGACGGTTAATTTTGAGAGATCTTTAGTATCTTCAAGTGAAGAGATCTTAGTCTCATATCTCTCCGGAAGAGTTACCAGAAGCTTGTCCACAACTCTTTGACTTGAAAAATCTCCACCAAGTAATTTGATTTGATTGACAATGGACATCAACCTATTCCCATATTCTTTGACACCTTCGTTACTTTTCATCCCCATCATCTCAAACTCCCTTTTGAGGTTGAGAATTTGCATGAGTTTGGTTTGTTGGTTGCCTTCGAACTCCTCTTTGATTTTCTCCCATGCTTCTTTAGGACACTCACAACCCATGATTGTTGTGAAAATCTCCTCGGACACCGCTGCATGGATACATGAAAGTGCCTTTGGCTTTCGTGCCATTTCTTCTTCATGTTTCTTGATTTGGGCTGCTGTTGGATTTCCTGGAAGAGGAGTAGGCTCACTGTCACTCTCAATGACATCCCATAAACTAATAGCTTTCATGTATGCTTTCATTTTGATAGCCCATGAAAGATAGTTATCACCTTTGAACAATGGAATAGAGATGGAGAAGTTGTTTGATGCCATTGAATATCACAAGCTCTTTAGATCTAGGCTCTGATACCAAATGTTGGATTAGAACTGACCACAACAAATTATAAAACACACGAATTGAGCCAAGCTCTTTTGTTGTATTTTAGAAACTAAGAAAATGGTTGGTTCTGTGGTACATCACAAGAACACAACACGTTGAATATAAAGACCAAGCCAACAGGAGTGGAAGCTACAAATCAGCAACACACCCACGAACATTACAACCAATTCAAAACATAACAATTATCTCCTAGAATGTCTCCACTACTCTAAGACTTATTCAAATGATAACAAATAAATAATTAATGAATAAATGAACCAAATAATTAATAACTAAATTTAAGATTATTCCAACAAGAAGGTAATTTAAATCCTTGTTGTGATACCATGATAAAAGTGTACTAGCAGGGAGGCTAAATAATCTGGATTGCTCTTGTCCATGCAGTATATGCAAATACATATAGAGATCCCATACATATACATGGATTACATGCACCAATAAGGAGAGTACTATCTCATCTACGTAACGCTTATATACAAATAAAAGAATGAAAGTAAATGAGAATGGAGAGCAAATAGTGATCCATATTGCAGCTAGTAATACTCTTATATTTGCACATATAAAATATACAAATATATAATATTCCCTTATATGTCTGAACTTTCAGGTATGATCAAGTTAGGGTCGTATGTATTATGTGTACATTACTATAATTTAAGGTTGATCTGGTTAGGTTTAAATATGATGTCATTTGATGTGATCTTTATTTGACACTAAAATCGGTTTGATGTACTGTATATGATATTTGTAGTTATTACAAATAGTAACAAAAGAATTTCATAAAAAAAGTTCGTCAATTATTATAAACTAATAGGGAATGAAAATATGTAGTTCGAATGAATGATTTAATAAGTACGGTAAATAATTAGGAGATATTATAATACTCAGTATTTAATCAAGATGATTAATATCATTATATTTGTCTTATAGACTTTTCCCTCATTTGCGTATTTCTTCATCTTACGGTCTCTGTGGGTTTTAGTATAGGAGTAATGTTGCATACATCCGACACCCCTTACCCCACCATAGGTGGGAGCCTTTGCGGCACTGGAGTAATGTTGTTGACTTGTTGTTGCGTATTTATGCAACTACCACATGCAATAGTTATTTTGATATACTCTGTATGAATAAAGGAAATAAATCTAGGATATCTTATTAATAAATAGTTTACGTAAATGCCACCTATGATATTAATGTACACAGATTTATAAAAAAAACATTTAATATTTTTTGGTTAAAAAATATTACTTCCTCCGTTCTTTTTTAATTGCAACAGTCAACTTTTCACGCTTGCCAACGCAGAAGTTTGACCGTTAATATCTTTCATTCCTTATTAGTAAAAAAATCAAAAAAATCAGATTTTGAAAATTTATTATGAGAGAAATTTAAAAATATTTTTTAAAAATTTAATTGATAATATATTAATAAATAAAATGTAGTCAAAGTAGAATCTGTGAATAGTGAAAAAAGTCCTACGTTGCAACTAAAAGAGAACGGAGGTAGTATGTTAAATCATATTCATAGGATGAGATAAGTGCAATGAGAGACAAAACTCTGGATCTCCAATTGAGCCTTGAGAGATACAAAGGAGAGAGTTTGAATTCCATACAATACAAGGATCTCGACGAGATGGAGAAAAAACTCGAGATCTCATATAGAAAAGTTCAAGCACGAAAGGTATACATACATATATATTATCTTATTAAATGCGTAGTAGAAGTTTTCTTATACTCTGTTTTTATATACTTTGATTACGTTTTATGTCTTAATGTATTAATAAAAAATTTTGAAAAAAATATTGTTAAATTTGTCCCATCAATTTTGTTTTTAAATCTGAGTTTTTAATTTTCTTACTAATAGGAATTAAATATACAAATAGTCATAATTGTGCATTGAGAAATATGAAAAATTAATTATTAATTGTTAGATATAACTTAATTATGATTTCAGTGATGGGTTGATTGGGTTCGACCAAGTTGTTAATCAATGATTATACGTAAACTTCATTTTTTACACTAGATGCATGTAAGGTGCATGAATATCAATTAAGCCATTGTGAATGATTATTGAAAATTTGAAATCATTAATTATGAAATGCTTTTTAGAGTTCATTTAAACATTTATAAAAAAGAGTCCATTTAAGTGATATGAGGGAAAAACTTACATCGTATAAATGTTGGAAAACATTATCATGAAAGACATCTACTCTCATACTTGCACTATTATGAAATATATGAAAACCCATCGTTTTATCATATATACAAGACGTCAAGATCCAGTCTCAAAACTTTGTATCCTAGACGTGAAAAGATATTTGAAGATTTTATTAATGATTATTGATATTTTATATATAAATTAAATAAATGAATATTCAAAAAAATACAATATATACAATTTTGAGCATAATTACTTTCTTTGAAGATTATATAAATTTTAATAGTACTAAAAGTTCTAATTAAATACAAAATAATACTCCGTACTATGTATATGGTTACTTTTTATTATTAAATTAAATGTGTAACATATTTACATAACAGACTTGATAAAACTTTAATTTTTTTTAAAAACAATCTATCTAAAAAATATGTCTTTTGAGCCTATATATATCATGCTTTTGACGACCACCTCTTGAGTTGATCGCCCTTTCCATGTCTATTTTATGTGTAGATTATTTTCGGCTCCATCTTTCTGAGCATTTTGAAACACTGATTATGATGCCTTAAGATGTGCTTAATTACCCTTAATAAACGTTCATTTATCATTATCACGGATAGCAAAAGAAATACGGAGTAGTACACATATATAATTTGGTGCATCATCTTTTAGAAGCCGGGTTTGGTAAATAATATGCGAATTTACAGTTTTATTGCTATGTATGTTCTAGTTGGAGTTGATGCAGCAGCAGCTGGAAAATCTAAAGAGGACGGTAAAATAGCTACTTGAATTGAACATTTCTTTTGATGATTGAACAGTATTACTACTTATATTAAGATATTGTTGATAATTCAATATAGTTTTTTCTATTGAATCTCATTTCTTAATCTTCAACATTTTAATTGGCTATTTTAAATCATTTTGTTATTTTATAATAGGAGAAAATGGTGGAGAAGCAAAATGAAGATATGTACAATTGGGTGAGTAAAGTTTTTCATTCATTAAGCAAAGAATCGTGTGAACTATAAAATGAATGTTTTAATAGAGGACTCAAAGTATTTCCACTTAAATTGTAGTTTGGTCTATTTAAATTAAATTGAATATAATTAGAAATTGAAACAATTCCAAATAAAAATATACATTTAACAATTTATCTACCATTCAGGTAATTGTTATATAAAATTCAAATAATATAAGATCAAATAATATAATATACACCGGACCAAACACAATGTTAGATACACCATTCAAATTTTGTAATTTTCATTGGTGGAAAATGACACAATTTTAGATACTAGCTAAAAAGGTGATTTTATTATTCGATTTGTTCAATTAATTAAGCTGTTTGAAAACAATAATAGTTGATGAACAATGAGATATACCGCCGTCAGCAAGAAGCAATGACTGAACTCAAACTTGTGGAAGAGCGGCAGCTGCCGCCAGGGGTGGTGAATGAGTTTCCTTTTCTCTTGCAAGACATGCCGCCGCCCCCTATTGGCGGCTTTCTCAGCCTTCTTCCTTCTCACTCCAATCATCGTGATCCAGACTGTCCAGGATGCAACTATAAATAATGGTCATGATAAAGGTATATACGTGCTATAACCTCTTGTACTTTAACTTTGATCGCTTGAGATCATCTTGAATGTCCACATGTGACATGAGAATGATTGACGTTGTTGATAAAAGATTATGGAAAGAAAGAAAGAGAAATATTTTTGATTTTTTATGTGTCTATTTATCTCATGTCGCATCTGTATCATGTGCATTGGATTGCGCTCTTACATAATGGTATCATAACTTGGACTCAAATAAAAATAAAAATAACATTTAAGAAACAAATTATTGATCAAATAATGCTAAATTACTTCCCATATATGTTTTCACATGCACTAAAGTGTACATGATCAAATATACGTAGTAAATGTTCATTTTAACATCTTTGACAAGTATGTGTATTTCATGACTCCGGTCACAATTTATGATAGTGTTACTATCCATATATTTCAAATTAATTTTTATTGATCGTTATTAAATCTTTACATTTTGTCAGATAAAATGTGGGCGGGCGATGAAGCTTTTATTAGCTGACATAATATTTTCCGGTTAACCAAAAAAGGTATTGTATAATCTCGTAGGATGACATAATATTTTTAGACAGGAAATGAATGAACAAAAATTTACTGTGAAATGGAAGGTTAAAGATTACAAAATCTCAATTTTATGGTGACTCAATCAACTAATTTTACCAAAAAAATGTATGAAAGTTCAAATATTTGTATGATCTTTTATGTGACCACAATATTTCATATATGAAGTTTAAGAAATGTGAGAACAATTGAAAAGAGAGAAGTAAATATTTTATGGAAAGCTGCTTTTCATTATACGTCAATGGAGTACATATATACACTTAGAATTCCGTAGGGGTGCCATTCGTCCGCCTAAAGAATCAGATCCACTAAACAACTATTAACAAAATACAATTTAAATATACAATGGACTCTTTAAGAGATAAAGCTAAGCAACGGATGATCCTTAGTTACGCACGTGTGCATGTGCGTGTATTATAATAACGTGCAACACCCCCTCAATATGGAGTGTGGAGGTCTTGAACACCCATCTTGGACAATAAATATTTAAATTGTAGCTCACCCAGTGCCTTAGTGAAAATATATGCTAATTGCTCTGAAGAACTCCGATGAGAAGTAGTAATGGTGCCAACCTGAATGTGACTGTGAATAAAGTGGCAATCAATTTCAATATGTTTGGTGCGTTCGTGAAACACAGGATTAGAAGCAATGTGGAGTGCCGCCCGATTATCACAGAAGACAGTCATGGAATGTGTGTGAGAGACGGCAAGAGAAGATAACAGACTCTTAACCCACACAAGCTCACAAGCTAGGGAAGCCATAGAACGATATTCGGCTTTAGCCGAGGATCGAGAGACGGTTGTCTGTTTCGTAGTGCGCCATGAGATAGGAGAATCACCAAGAAGAACAAAATATCAGTGACAGATCTCCGATTGATAGGACAACTAGTCCAGTCGGCATCACAATAGCCTGACAAGGAAAGAGAAGATGCTCGACTCATAAAAATACCTTGGCCAGGACTGCCTTTGAGATAACGTAAAACTCGTAGTACAGCTTCCCAATGGGCTATACGTGGCTGTTGCATGAACTGAGAAAGAATATGAACGACATAACAGATATCAGGGCGAGTCAAAGTGAGATAGATGAGTTTGCCAACTAGACACCGATATTGCTCAGGATTCGAATAAAGAGGTCCATCATCGGTCTGTAATCCATGATTTTGAATCATGGGAAAAGAAGCGGGCTTGGCCCCGAGCAGACCTGTCTCAGTAAGAATATCCAGAACGTATTTGCACAGACATAAGAAAATACTAGGACCATTGCGAGCAACCTCAATTCCAAGAAAATATTTAATAAATCCCAAATCCTTGACAGGAAAATGCCGTCCCAGGAAAAGTTTAAAATCAGCAATCAAGGAGGGATCATTATTACCAGTAATGAGTAAATCATCCACATAAATTAAGATACACAGAATTTTATCACCACGACGACAAGTAAATAGGGAGTAGTCAGCATAAGATTGGCATAAACCAAATGATTTAAGAGCACTAGTAAGCTTAGAAAACCAACAACGCGGTGCCTAACGTAGCCGATAAAGTGATTTGAGGAACTTACAAACTTGACCTGGGCGAGAAGAAGAATAACCGGGCGGAAAGTGCATATAAACCTCCTCACGCAAATCCCCATGCAAGAAGGCATTATCAATGTCCATCTGATGAACCTCCCAGTCACGAACAGCAGCCACGGCAAGAATGGTGCGAACCGTCACCATTTTTGCCACAGGAGCAAAAGTTTCATCATAGTCTACTCCATGCACCTGTCGGTTACCACAAACAACAAGTCGCGCCTTATAGCGCTCAACAGAACCGTCACTTTTATATTTTATTTTGTATACCCATTTGCAATAAATGGGTTTCTTCCCGGGAGGCAAGGGTAAAACCTGTCACGTTCCATTTGTTTCAAGAGCATTGATCTCACGCTGCATTGCCTCATGCCATTGAGGATCCTGGACCGCCTCTCTATAAGACTGAGGTTCACGATGGACCCCAATTTCCGCAAGAAATCCTCGGTGCTGCATAGAAAAACGATCATAATTTACATATTCAGATAAGGGATATGGAGTACCTAAGGGAACCGTTGAAGTAGAGGAAGTGACCGGGGGTATACTATGTTCACTGTATTTCACTACTACATTTTAGGGCCTAATGTAACAATAAAATTGTAACACTCGTTCAAAGTGTTACATAAAACCAGTCTTTTGTAATAGTTTTTTATGTACCGTTACATTTTCTTAGCAAGTGTCGCATTAGATGCCATCCTAATGTAACACTTTATTGTACGACCTCCAATGTTACATTACTGTATTAAGTGTTACATTTAGTAAATTCTAAAGTAACACTCATATCTAAAATTATTGAGGAAGCGCCAAAATAAAAAAAAAATGTGTGCCCGCCACATCTTTTGATTAAATTAATTGAATTTTCGGCCATATGAATGCTCTATGCAAGAGGAAGGAAATGAAAAAAACCCTAAGAAGCTACTAGAGAGGATAATCTCGTCGTTCTCATCAGCATCCGAAGAACAGCTTTGCAGCAGCTTCGTATCTCGATTTCAATCTCATACGAAACATCAAGAGAGCTTATTCCATGAATCGAGGCGGCCTACTCTCTAGAATCCCGTCCTCAAATTCTAAAACCCTTAAATTCGATTGTCCTTGATGTCTCTGTCGGTCGTCGCTGAATCACTGAATCGATTCATCCCCCAAGTTTTGCCATCGCACCGAGCATCAATCTCCATGGTCTAGATTCAGACTTGCCGCGGACCACCCTTCTGCGCCCATGCGGTCTGCTGCCACTCGCTGCTATGAGCCAGGCTCTGAATTGCCAACTGGTGATGCCCTATATGTGGATACAGAGAGCCTCCCTATGGTGTTTGCTTATCCCCTTCCCAATCCCTCCACCCTTATCAAGGTAGGTCATTTTTCCTTGACAAAGTGAATTTAAGGCTATGAATTTAATTGAGATGAGTACAAAATTGGGCCTTGATTTTCGCAGGTACCATGAGTGCAAATCAAATTATTTGGATTGAAACTTTGACTGCAGATTTGAGAGCTTTGGACTTCAAAAATTTCCAGTCCTACGCTATGTGGTAAGTATGTGACTTGAAACTAGAGTGTGATCGATTTGCAAGCAAAAATGGGTGTGAACCACAGGCAGCTTCTAACGAAACTAGATTGCTTGCAAAAGTATATCTCTATTCTCTAATGGAAATTGCTTCCACAGGAAAATTAAGAAATCTTTGAAGAAACATGCTAAAGTCCATGCTGCTTTTTATATTATATAATCAACAAATTACATATCTTTCTCTACTAAGAATTTTTCAGCTAATAATTGTTAAGAAAATTGTTTGCTTACAATTATTCAATTGCTGATGCATCTTTGTACTAAGAAGTAAGAATTGTTGTTGTGATTAAGTTGCTTAAATATTATAGGTGTGTGTAAGTGAAATATGTTCCAAGAATGTTTTTGCAAAAAGTCATCTGCATACCATTTGATAAGGATATGGATAAGTAGTTATTGGGTGGAACATCAAAGTTTGGAATTACTATTTGCTAAGAGGTATGTACTGTGTGTTAGGCTTTTAAGTTTTGACTAAAGTTGGATCAAGAAATTTGCTTGAAACAGTTATGCCTAATTTTCTTCCTTAATTTGCTTTAGTTTTTTTCTTTAGCTTTCAGCTCCAAAAGTTTTATTTCCTTTTCTCTCTGCTATCATATTTTTGTACTTTACGTATCCTGATGAACAAAAGAAGAGTTTCCTTTATATATTCCATGTAGTTGTTGTCTTACTTTTATATAGGTTTTACTCAAATTTTCTATGTCAGGTTTACATATGCAGTGCCTGATTTCCTTTTCTTTTCCAGGTTTACCGTTTACATATGCACTCCCTTGTATACCATCTTAAGGTTTGACATCCTCTCCTTATATTCTCATAGTAATAGCTACTGCCTACTAGTGTCTGCTTTCTAAGCTTTAACAGTGAACTGTAACACAAACAAATTTGTTAGTAGATAACAAGAAATCCATATATTATTTGTTGCAGTTTTGTCTCTAAGTATTATGTACAAAGCGAATGTATAAGTGTACTTTTCAGTTGCTTAAGCATTGCAGATTTACATTCAAAAAGTTATAGATTTATAGCTATTTCACAGAGCTAACATATCTTCTTTCTTATGTAAACATAGGGCATCAAGAGCTTTTGAAACAGTTCACCCCATCGCCCTTCTGGTGCAGTAGTGAGTGGTGCGCTGCACGCCTACACGGAGGTAACCCGGTGACGCCGCACGCCCCAGCCTCACAAAGTCACACATGCATCGCTCTTCTCGAAGATTTCCTCCTCAATTCTCAGTTTCTCCCTTCGAAGCTTCAGGTACTCCGCACTCTTCCTTATGCAGTCATTCCTTGACTCTTTAATTGATTAGTTCTTAACTCATGGTTAATAAATTTTTAATTATAAATGATTAGTTGATTTAATGAT